CATTACACTTAGCCAATGGAGCTAGGTTGCCCAGATAGAACATTTTTGTGATTCTGTTAAGTGAAAACTGAAATTCTCTTCTGCTTTTTTTCTTTGTCATCTTTAATCACCAACATGGAATATTTTGATTTTCTTGACACTCACCTATATCAACAAATCTAGCTCTCTTGGCCTACATTAACTTTTGCTTCTCTCTCCTTTTCTGTGACCACTAACCGAACTTAACTACTGCAGCAAAAGATGTAACTTTGAAAGCTTGCCCTCTTCCCTTCCATTCCAAAAAGAACTATTAGCATAATTTTCTTCAAACACGTAAACACAAAGGTCTTAATCCTTTTTCTCCTCTATGTAAAAAATAGTTGGTATCTTTCAATTGCCTGTAACATCAATATAAACTTTTTATGCTAAAAGTTAATATCCTCCCTTCAACTGACCCTTTCTATTTTAGCACTGTCATTTATTCTTGCTCCTTGGCATAGTTGCTCTGATTCTTCTAAGCCATCTGGTTCTTATTAATACATAGGATTTGCTTCTACTGCTTTTCTGCTTGTGCAGATGTCATCCCTTCAATCACTGGGAGCACACTGCTTCCTGAGATAGCCTTGCCATCTTTGTGTAGGTCAGTTAGAGACTTTTTCTCTTTATTGAGCTGGTATCAACTATTGTATATGATTTCTACTTTTATCTGCATGCATGTCATTATATATACATTCTAGCAGGTTTGCACATGTGTAGTATGTCTATGGTGGCTCTTTGTTTAACTTCTGGGGAAGGATCTCTGCATCTGGCCTTCCCTCATTTTCATGCCTTAATCTACCCTGCCAACAACACCCTAGAACCATATTGGGTGAACTCTCATTTTGAGCATGTTGTTGTATGCCACTGAGTCGAATCTGACTAATAGCGACCCTATGTTGTTGTTGTTGTTAGGTGCCACCGAGTTGGCTCCAACTCATAGTGACCCTATGGACAACAGAATGAAACACTGCTTAGTCCTATGCCAGCTCACAATCCTTGCTATAACTGAGCCCATCGTTGCAGCCACTATGTCAATCCATCTTGTCGAGGGCTTTCCTCTCTTTCGTTGACCCTCCACTTTACCAAGCATAATATCCTTCTCCAGGGAATGGTCCTCTATAGGACAGAGTAAAACTGCCCCATAGGGTTTTCTAGGCTGCAATCTTTATGGGAGCAGATTGGTAGGTCTTTTTTTTTCTATGGAGCCACTGGGTCGGTTCAAACCACTGACCTTTTGGTTAGCAGTTAAGTGCTTAACCATTGCATTACCAGGGATCATCACATGTTTAATAGATGCTTGTGACTAAGCCGCTTTCTAAATATGTTATTATTTACATGTGAAAACATATATAATAAGATAAAGTTATTAAGGGATAACAAGATTTCTACTAGGTAATAATTCTGTGAAACTTAATCATAAACATTGAACACAAGCTTGAGTACATGCATCCTCATCCACACAGAGCAAAATGTCTCAAACATTACCAATCGGTTAACTAAGAAAGTGTCACCCGTGGCATACCTATCTGTAACTGGTTAACTGAGAAAACATTACATGCTATATATCTGTCCGGATAGATGGCTTGGTTTTCTAAATATGTAATACACTGTTATTTGCTAGATCTTAGAAAAAACTGGCATATTTAGTTCTACATGTACAACTTCAAATAATTCAGAAAAAATATTGATAGTTTTTCCTACATTTCACAAGACACATATGAGAATATATCTAGGCATTATCAATACAAAGAAGACAAATATATTTTTCAAATAGCTCATGTAGCCTCACCTTTTATTACTCTCTCTAATTTTTAGCATCTCCAAATGTCTCTACATTTTTAATTATTTCAAAAATTGTGTTTCCATAACAATTTTAATTGAATCTCCTGTGATGCTGTTTTAATCATTAAAATCAGCCATAGCATAAAATTATATTTTAATCAGAGCCTTTTATACTGTGCAGTAATCTGAGAGTAGACATTAACAAAAACATCATCTCTCTATGGTGTTCCTCTCGGCCACCTCCTACTCCACCTGAGACACTAAAAACAAGAATTAAGACTGAGCAGCTTATTTCCATTTGTTCCACATGCTGTGGAAAATATTGATAAGGGGCAGCTAGATGGGGTCATCATTAGTGGCATCTGATGGTTTATTCTTGTATAAAGATAAACATATAATTACAGACTTTTCACCAAGGCTAACAGTAAACTCTGATTTATTTGTAGGATGGCTGCTTAGGCTTAGGAGTGCATCTCCTGGTCATGTAGTCAATTGAAGGTCTGGAGCATGGTTGGCTCAAAAAGAAGAGGTGGGTGGCCCAGATGTGAAGAGAGAGTAAAAGGGGTCATCTATAGCCCACATAACTCTATCGAGCAGATTCCCAGGTCCTGAATTCTCAGCAGTGAATTATTCTTTTTCAGTTCTTATTCTTACTAGACTTCTTTAAAGCCCATTTTTATGTGTGCCCATTAATCATCTGTGTAATTTTAGAAGGCAAAATGCATGAGACTCAGAGCTAATTATGCATTCTATTATGCCTTGAGATATCTGGATGAAAAATCATGTTCCAACACTCAATCCCTTCCCTAAAACTCATTTCCACAAAAGATGATTTAATGATCTATTTACTTTAAAGGTTTGCCTTTGGGGACAATGATTATCCTGGTTAGCTTGACTTAAAGAATAGACTTTTACTTCATAGGACCTGGAAGCATTTAGAAAAATCACTGTGGCTTCAGAAAATATAATTAATGCAAAATGTGCTGAAACTCATATTTTGGTTATTCCTAGGTAGAAGTGATCCATTTAACACCTATGCAGAGTGTGAGAGTCATCGTGACACCAATTTTCAAGTTTTGTTGTTCAAACATAGCATTGGAAATCATCCAGCTGTGGATGCGGTGTATATGATGGCAAATTACAGCTTTGTTGTTCAACTCCAAAAAAGGATTATGAACAATAAAAGAATGATAAAGATGACGGAAGTCTTAAATCAATTTTTCCTAATCAGTTTGGTTCTACCACTTATAGCCAATCTATTACATTATGTAAAACTAGCTGCCTAGGAATACAAACATTAGTCTCATAAATGCCTTTCAATTTGATATTTTAGTTTTCCTTTACTCTGAAGTATTGAAAAAAAATCATTTTTCAAAGATACCTCCTAGGTATAGGCTATACACTTGATCCCAAAGTAGAGACACTGTCCTATGTTTCTAAGAACAGACTGCAGAGTTTTACATAAGGAGATGTGTTTCTATGATTAGCATATGCTCATTTCTTTTAGAATGGTGCTTTTTTTTTTAGCCCTTAAAATACAGTTTAATCACAATATGTGCAAAAACTCTCAGCTCCAAATTCTACATTAATATTTTCTAAAATGTAAGTAAAAAAATACTCCTTCAACCGAGTTCTGGATTTAGTGAGAACAAAGGGAATGTGGAGCCCAGGTGGGAACATCTGTCTCCATCTAGATGTCACTGTCCACCCCAGAGCCACATTTGTGACAGAAGATGTCCTCGTTCTGGGTCAGGAAGCCTTCACCCACCAAGGAGACAGAACACCTTCCACAGTTAAAGCATTCACTGTGCCACTGGCGGTCTTGAAAGCAGATAAACTTGGCACCTCTGAGACCTATAAAGGAATCAGAGAAAAAGAGTAACCCACTGTTTCAATGAACAGATTGACAATTCCACCTGGCTTCTTTGGACATAACAGTGAACAAGGTAACGTAGAGACAAGTAAGCAAATAAACAACAACAACAACAACAAACTCCCAAACTGTTCCCCTGTGCCCCCATATCCGTTCTGGGATTGTCAGCCAGAGGCAAGTTCCTTCCATGTAACCCAACCAAAGTGGCAATGCAATTCTTTCATTATCCACAGAAGTAGTTAGAATCTGGTTATACAAACCATATTGTTTTGTAAACAGAAAGGATTACCTAATATGTATAAGGAAATATAGTGTGCATTGGGAAGAAGGTATACTTCTTAGAAGCAAACATATTTAATCATCCCTTTCTCTCTGTGTGATCCTCAGGTTTCTTAGCTGTGAAATGAAGATAAAATAATTGTTTGCTTTCTAGCTTGGTGTCTGAAGTTCTCAGTAATTTTAGTTCTTTTCTGTCTTTTTCCATGTTTAGTTTTACACAGGATAAAGTCCCATGGTGCTGTAGTAGTTTAGGACACAATTTCTGAAAGCTGACAAATTAGAATTTCATTTAGACTATCATGTAGCCATCCTAACATGATGACCTTATTACTGCAGAAGAGACAACTTCAGTCTAGGGTTGTAACAAAGGTCTATGAGTCTGATCTACTGTAGCCAGTGAGGCAATTCTACTCAACAACTAGTACTTAAGAAGGTCCTTATCATCCCTCCTCCCACTTCAACTTGGGCCCCACTTGAGCCATAGAATTTCTGAAAAATGTGGTAGAAATTGAGTCATCGGTGAGACTCTGATCCTTTTCTCCCTAGTATAATCAAGGAATTGATTTTGAGGAAGGGGCTGGGATGCACTAGGTTTGGGCTTTTATTTATTTACAAATATCTCCAAGTGGCTATCATACTATAATCTCTCTATAATTTGCTTACAGAGAGTGTTTCTTTGCTAGTTTACATAAAGTTATCAAATGCTTCTGGTATATTGAAGCAAAAAGGATAAAAATAGCATTCTATTTCAGATAAACTCTCCTTTTGTTTGCATCCTAGAAATTTTACTTGATTTCTTTACAGATAATTTGGTAGCTCAGAGAACTTTGCATCAAATTCTTCTACTTTTTAAGAATTAGCTTTATAATTTGCTCATCTATGATGTTATTATTAGTTTCCAATAAGAGTAAATTAATAGTGTACTGATTAATTCCCTTGATGTTATTCAAAATATTAACAGGCTGTCTGCAAGAAATATATTCTGTATATACATAAATCATCTCTGCTCATAAAACTAATTATTATCCATGTCTGGCTTTTCAATGCTGATGAGCTTTCCTTGATTTTATTAGTAAGCTTTGAATAAGGGGCAAATGTAAAAGTAATTCTTCTAGAATTTTACAGATAAGAAAAATACAGAAGCCCCTGGCAGAAAGGATTTAAGAAAGGCCTGACACAACATGTGAGATGTTTGTAAATTGCTCCAGTTTTGGATATGTTTATTCCCTCAGGTCATGAGGGTTATTTGTAGAAATTTATCCAGGGAACAAGTCTCTGGCACCTATTTTATCTGACTCCATTTACTGCTGACAAATCAGTAGAATAAGGGCTAACATTTGTTGGGCACTTGGGTATGTGCTAAGCACTATTCTAAACACTTTACACATGTTGCCTTGTTTAACCCTCCCCTCACCATCATGGATTAGTTATTATGATCATCTCACTTTGCAGACAAAAACTGAGAAAGAGTTCAACAACTTGCCTAAGGTCACCCAGCTGGTAAGTGACAGAGCTGGGACTCAATCTCAGGTATCCTCTTCACCTCACCATCTTATTTGAATTTATCTTTTGTAAAGAACATAACCAGAAACATTAGCATCTCTTTCAGAAGTCATGACATTTGAAGCTCCTTTCCCATCTTTAAGCAGTTAGGGAAGAAAGCTAAGGTGTGATCTGGATCAACTCTTTGTTTTACAAATAAGGAAAATGAGGACCTTGGAGAACAGTAACTTTTCCATTCCAAGCAGTAGTGAGAGACAGAGGCTTATGGATAGATTAAGATAAAATAGTGTTTTTAAAACATCCTGACAGAGAAGCTCAACATGTGCTCAAACATACCAACATTTGTGAGGATGGAATAGGACCAGCATTGTTTTGTTCTGTTATACATGGGGTCACCATGACTTGCAGCCAACTTGATGGCAATTAACAACAACAACATACAGAGTTCTTGAAATGACATCTTTTTTGCATGATTGTCCATCTCTCAGAAGATAAATATATATGACAGTGTTAGAATGCCTTATGGTACATTAGTTTACATAGCTCAGGGTTTTTTTTTAATTTTTATTGTGATTTGGGTGAAAGTTTACAGAGAAAATTCACTTTCCGTACAGCAGTTCACATACACTTTGTCTCATGACATTGCTTACAACTTACCCCAATGCAACAGCTCCCCTCCCAACTTCCCTTCCCACTTCCAATAGTTACCTCTTCCCTGTGTCCATCCCTCCATGCACTCCTACCCCCTGAGCTTTCTCCCTGTGCATGAACAGCCCTTCTTTCTCCCATGATTGTTCTCTCCAAGGAGGTATCTACCTCAGGTAAATGTTCAACTCATTTGCCTGTCTTCTGTTTGGCTGGAAGCCACAGGTGTGGGCTCAACTCCAGACCTGAAGGGCAGCTAGAGGCAATAGTCTCAGTGGTTCCACCAGGCTTATCAGACCAGCAAACCTGGTGTCCAACCCCCCCTGACTTTTTTTTCCAAATGATTTTGAGTTCTGTTCCACAATGTTCTCCCTCTCTATCCAGGATCTCCTACATAAATCCCCCTCTGAGTGGTTGATAGTGGTAGCCACCCACCATCTAGATCTTCTGGTCTCATAGTCTGGCAGGCTATGGATTACATGGTGTACCAGTAAAGCTTACATAGCTCAGTTTTAAAGAAGCACTGCTAAAGGGCCATTCTCTCTCTGTCTCTCTCTCTCATTCGTTTGGGTCAAGAAACAGTAAAGTGAGTTGGAAGTTTTTGAGGCATTCCAGTCTAGTGGCTCTCAATCACAGATCAAAAAGTATATTAAGAAATATTTTGAAGTTCTTTATATTATACTTTATGTTGTAAAAAACTCACTGCCATCAAGTTGGATCCGACCCACAGCGACCCCTCCTTGGGTTTCCAAGGTGATATCACTATGGAAGTAGATTGCCCAACCTTCCTTCTGAGAAGTGGCTGGTAGTTTTGAACCGCCAGCCTTCTGGTTAGCAGTCAAGTACCTTAGGCACTATGCCACCAGTTGTTGTTGTTGTTGTTTTTTGCCGTCGAGTCCTCTATATTAAATACATAACTCTACTTTTGGACTATTTTGGGGTCAAGTCTTTTGTTTCTGATCATTCTTATGTTTTAGTATAGATCAATTTAAGTTTTCCACTTGAATCTAAAAAAGCTAAGCTCAGTCATCTTTCTGCAATAATCCACTAGAAAAAATTACTTAGACACATGGATCTCTGATGGATCAGATTTGAACCTCCTCAAGTTCAGGGCTCTCAGAAGCTCTTTGCAGAGAAGTTAGCCATTTGGGGCTTCAGAGAGCTTTGAAACCCGTTTAAGTTGTTTAATTTTTTTCATTTTCTTTTTGAAGCCCTCCATTTCCTTGCCCAATTCAAGAAATCTATTGTAAAGTAAATTGAATTGGTAGGGTTGTGATTGTAGACTCTACTGGGGGGAATTTGGAGCCTAAGTACTGCCAAATTTCTAGAAGTACCACTTAAATCAGTGGAAATGGGGCTTGTTCTCTTGGCTGCAAGGGTTTCTAGGGTTGTAGAAGGCAGGAGTTCCAGGCTCTAACCCCAAGACTATGGCCCTGAATCACCCTTTGGGTCTGGAATTGGACTCACTCTTGTGGTCCAACAACCAGCCAAACAATAGGCTTATGAGCTGAACAACTACAACAGGGAACTGTACTCCTTAGAACAGTCCCCATGGGAGATGAGAAGGGCAGCAATTGCACAGGAGAAAGCTAGGTAGCAGAAATGCATACATAAAGAGGACATAGGGAAGGACTAACTTCAGGGAAGATGTGGGAACAGAGCTGTTACGTTGTGGGGATTGTAATAGGTGTCATGAAACAAAATGTGTATGAACTGTTGAATGTAAAATCAATCTACTCTGTAAAACTGCACCCAAATCACAATAAACAAGTTAAAAAAAAAAAAAGAGCACAAGCTCTGGACCCAGGCACTACCTGGGATTGCTAACTCAAGTCCTTTCAAGGACAAAGGAGGTATCCTAGCTGAGCAATGGGCCCAATGAGTGAAGGATGGAGAAGGCATGCCCCATACCATGGGGTGGCATTGCAATGCCACATCATAGTGACCATGCAGACTGCATGGAGGCACCTGCTCACCCATAACAGGCTCTTTATTTAATTTTTCTGTGGAGATGGATTTTAGATTTGCTGTTTCTCAACATGTATAGGCCAAAGACAACACATCTGCTGGCCAAATGTCGCCTGTGGGCCATTTATTGATTCACAAAAACATGGCGCCCTGTAGAGACAACTAGGACCCAATTGTTTGCCCAGGTAACTCCCTCCCTCTACAATTTAGTGAAAACTTGCCAAGTTGCAGTGGAACTCTTTTCTTTCTTTGGAAGCTACATGAAGATCAACTTTTAATTTGCGATATATTTGGAGGTAGAAGAGGAGGTGGAAAGGGATAGCATAATTTTTAATTTTATGTTACATAGACTGAACTAAAATATGAAATATAATCTAAAATACTAGGAATGGTACTAGCTATACAGTTCTCTCAGCTTATTAAGTGACTATAAATTGCCTAAAATAATATCTGGTGTGTTTCTCAGATGTCATACTAGCTTTAGTTTCTTTACTATAGAATTAGCATTTTACAAATGTCTCTGAGGAAAATAGAATGCTTTTTATAACCATGAAAGTCTATTTAACATGGATCAATTGACCATTTGTTATTTTCAAATCATTTCACATGTATTTTGTTTCTTAAGTAGAATGCTATCTTGTTTTCTTTCAGCTATTCATAATTAAAACTCATTGGAAGTGAATAGAAAGAAAAGAGAATAATACATGTTAGAAGCATCTTAAAATGAAGTTTAATTAATTCCTGACCTATGCTATTCTAATAATTAATTTCAGCTTCAGACATTTTATGCAATGCTTGCATGTAATTAAAACCTTTTTTTATTTCAGGGCTGCTTAGTCCTTGCTTGGAATTAAGCAGGATTCTGATTTATTATTACCCTTTTCTCCCACCCAAATCCTTAACGTTCTTGCTCAGATCAGGCCTCCTTGTTAAAGTCTTCTCTGACCTCTCATCTGACCCTGTTTTTTGCCTTCATTGAGCTAATACTTTACTTTGAGTCAGTATCAGTAGGTTTAGTGCTTAGTTATTCTCTACAGAGCATGTTGTTTTTAATTGCTGTCAAGTTGACTCCAACTCATGGCAACCTCATGGACAAAAGAATGTAACACCGCCTGGCCCTGCCAACCTGTCTTCACGATTGCTGGTATGCTCAAGTCTGTTTTTGAGGGCACTATGTATTTTGAGGGAGCTCTGGTAGCATAGTGCCTAAAGCACCTGACTGCTAACCAGAAGGCTGGAGGTTCAAACCCACCAGCCACTCCTCAGAAGGAAGGTTGGGCAATTCACTTCCATAGTGATACTGACTCAGAAACCCAAGAAGAGGTCGCTATGAGTTGGGTCTGACTTGACGGCACATAACAACAACAACAACAACATGTATTTTGAGGAGCTCTGGTGGCGTAGTGCCTAAGGCACTTGACTGCTAACCAGAAGGTTGGCCGTTCAAACCTGCCAGCCACTCCTTGGAAGGAAGGTTGGGCAATCTACTGCCTTAGTGATACCACCCCAGAAACCCAAGGAGGGGTCACTATGAGTCAGGATTGACTCGAGGGCAGTGCATATGTATTTTGAATGCCTTCCAGCTTAGGATAATATTCTCTTGTGATGGATAGTTTCCATCGGGTAATTTTGGGAGCGTATCACCAGGTCTTTCTTCTCAGACTGCATTAGTCTGGAAGCTTTGCTGAAACATATCCAGTATGGGTGACTCTACTAGCATTTGAAATTTTGATGGCATAGCTTCTAGCATATAGGAACATGTAAGCCACCATAGAACAATAAACTGACAGATGGATGGTGGCTATAGACTATAGTGACCTGTATTATACTCTCTATTTTCCTTGATGGATCTATGTAATATTTATATTTACATAGAAGTTACATGTGCTTATCTCAAAAGGAAACAAATGAAAGATTGTCCATTTTCTTGCATTTCCTAAATATGGCATTTTACATAGTCATAACCATCTCAAGATTTTGTGTTGGTGTTAGCTGCCATCAAGTCACTTCCCAGCTCACAGAGACCCTATGTACAACAGAAAGAAACTGTTGTTACCCACAGGGTTTTCACTGGCTAATTTTCATAAGTTAATTGCCAGGCCTTTCTTCCTAATGTGTCTTACTCTGGAAGCCCCACTGAAATCTCTTCAGCATCATCATAACACACAAGCTTCCACTGATAGATGAGTGCTGGCTGCACATGAAATGCATCGGCCTGGAGTTGAACCTGGGTCTCTCTAATGGAAGGCAAGAATTCTACCAGTGAACCCTCAACGTCCTCAGGGTCTCATGATAGAATCACATTAAGATAAACAAAAAAACTCACCAGTGATGGGTTTGCTGCAGGCTGCACACTTTTTGGCATAAAGATGATTGTAGCAATCCAAGCAGAATGGGTGGTCATCTCTGGACATAAATTCTTCTTCACAGAGCTCTTTCCTACAGCCACTACACAGAAAGCACTCTTTATGCCATGGCTGGTCACGAAACATTATTCCACCTGAAGTTATCACCTGCCAGAAGATCACCAAAAAGACGATGACTGCGGGAGCCACTATGATTCAGATCTTTTCATGATTCTCTTCTGTGTCCACAGAGGGACTTCGGGGTATTCTATTCCCTTGTGAAGGGTGCTCTTTTCCTTTAAAATTTCTGTGATTCTTTATCAATATGAGAAGCAAGGAGGACAGAGATGAAAATAGAACTAGTAAGAAATGAAAATTTTTTCTAGTTTTACACCTATGATAGGAGAAAAAAGAAAGTGCCATATCTGACTTAGAAGAATGAAAAGAAGTTTAAAAGAATTCACTTTCATGCTCATCCTTCTCTGACTTTCTTACTTGTCTTCAAAGATCTGCCATTACACCAATAATGTTTCCTATGCGATGTTCTTATTTCCATGTCTGACTTTTAAGGACGCTGGGGAAAAAAAATCTACTTTTTCCTTAAAGCTCTATATTGGGTCCAAGAATATCTAGCAGCAGCAACCCTGAAAGGAATTAATAAGCATCATTATTTGCTAATAATCTCTAACACATCTTAAGAGGTTTTTTTTTTTTTTTTTTTTTTAAGTCCTCAGCATCGTGCTATGTGATGCCCTCTTCTAATATTCTCAATGGCCTTAGGTGTTAGAGAATATTATTACCTTTACCCTTTATGGATGAGCAGCTGCTGAGAGCTGGCATGATTAAGTTACTTGCCCAAGGTCACACAGCTATCAGTTGGCAGCCTTTAACATTTAAACCTCTGCAGTCTGACTCCTTGGGTTGTGTGTGCTTAATTATTAACACAATAATAAGTCAAGATTACCTTGTACTGATAAAGCAGTTAATAAATCCTTGTCAGATAATTAAATAAACACTGAGGGAAAAAAAAATCTTTGGAAACCAATGCCAATAGTGTATCTAGCACAAATGGATGCTGTGGATAATTGAGTATTTTGTTGGCTTTAGCACTCTGTAATGGACACTGATTAGGTATTGAAACTAAGGTGTGATGCTCTAGGGTTTTCTCAGAGATGCTATTATTCCTTCATAAGATAATATTTATTTTTCTAAACCAGTGTAATCTATAGATTACACTAAAATCTGTAGATTATACTTTTAAAAGGCTGAGACATCTTTATTTAGAATCAAATGGATACTTATTGGAAATCTCTTCTTGTGTAGCCGTTTTTAAGTTATATCATCTTTCAAAGCTCCTAGAAATTGCTGTGGGGCCTGGAAGGTGTTCCTTTAAATGCATTATAATGCCAGAAACATTATGATATCTGAGATAGTTCTTATGATCTTTGTGTTTAATTAGATGTAGGAATTACAGAGCTCATCCTAAGCCATTTTATTATTGACAAGCTCAAAAAGGTTCTTTTTCTTTGATCTGGGCTTTTGAAAAAATAGTTATTCTAAAGGTGTTTTTAATCTGAAAACTAATATCTTAAAAACTAAAGATATTTGATAGAAAAGTTACATTCTTCCCCAAATGAGAAAAGTATACTGCTTTGACTATGTAAATGAAAAGCGTAATGATGTGAATAAAGCAATTTAAAATACCCCCTATTGATTTCAAATGGCTTCTGACAGTCACAGCAGAATTCAAGATTCCTTTGATTTTTTTTTTTTTTTTTTTTTTGGTCAAATGATTAGCAGGCAATGCTTAAAAGATTTGAAACTTATAAAATATATTCACAGCAAAATAAAACTTGATGTATACATTAAAGACTTTAATTAGAGAGAAGAAACTCCAGGACATTAAAAATAGTTTGCATATGATTATGTTCCTTTTGAAGGGTAGGCTAACTAAAATGAAGTCTAATGTCTAAACTTTATTTTTGCTGTTGATTCATCCCAGGAGTTAGAACAAGTTTCTTTTCGAGCAAATTTGAGGCAATAATGATTTTGCTTTTAGTAGATGACAGATGAATAATTGCAGAATATATTTAACTCTCTTTGGACCCTAAGGAGTTTGAATTCAAAGCATTTAGAATTTGAAGTCATTTACTTTTTTGGTAGAAAAATTAATTTTAGTTTTACAAAATAAAATCTATGAAAAAATTCTAAGGATTTGGTTGTCTTGTACTTTTTGCTTATTTTGTTTTGTGTTTGGACTTTGGTTGGAGTTGAAAAAAAATATTTTCTTCAGCTTGGATCATTTTGATCAGAAATATCTATATCCAACTTTCCTTAAAGAACTTGTGAATTTATAAACTAAATATAAAATAACCTGGAATGTCATGATCTGTCTACCACCTAACATAAACATTTTATAAATTTTTGATGACTTCAAATCATAAACTATATATAGACACAGACTCCTATAATTTAGGAAAGGAAGGTTGGGCAATCTACTTCCGTAGTGATACTGCCTCGGAAACCCAAGGGGGTGTCGCTATGAGTTGGATGCATCTTGAGGGCAGTGAGTTAGAGTGCTTTGTCCCAGACAATCCCCAGCACTGATACATGAAATTTCCCTCTTGAATCTTTATAACGTCAAAGCAAACTTCATATTGTATGTCTGATAAATGCTTTTAAGATAATTCCCACAAATCTTATTAATATTTTAGCATATTTAAGAAATGGAGCCTTAAAATTGTCAAGTTAATTGTCCCTCAAAACAACGAGATAAATATCTCCAGTTTTTTCTAAGCATCTTTTTCTAAAGGTAGGTCATTGATTCAAGTAATTATTTGGAACTTCATAAATCATAGGATCATAGATCCCTAACTGCTGCTTGTAAAGCCATTTTCTAAGTCATTGTTTCAGGTACAAATCTGTACTCTCCAGCTTTCATTATGTTGTAACTTAACAATAATTGTAACTTAAGAGAGTTAGTTGATTCATGTCTCCTCAGATGCAGTACTGTTATTATATGTATATGTAGAAAATTACACTATGTGTGTGTGTGTGTGTGTGTGTGTAGGCATACACATGTACGTTCATGTATGCCTTTGTAGAAAGTGGTAATAAGATGTCCAGCTGTCCAGATCCAAGTACGCAAATGATCTCAAGAGATCTGTCGATGTAGTTCATAGATCAAAATGGTTTAGAAACCACTGTAGTAATCGAATGTGTTTTCATGATTCAGCTCACTTGCTATAGTTTATAATATCTTATTAAATTTATGAGGCCTCACAGGTCAAAGATTTCTTAACGAAACTCAATATATTTTATGTAGTACAGACAGGCTTCATCACTGTGATAAAAATAAGTTACATTTTCAAATAAAAGCTTAGAAAATAAATGAGTTGGAAGAAGTTTATTTCAAAACATGTTTTATTTTTTCCTATGGAAAATATGTTTTGAATGGTCGAACTAGTTAAAGCCTATCCATGAAACCCTGGAACTGGAGGTGAAGAAAATCACTCCTAGCAATTTGTATAGTTCAAATGCAATTAGTATAGTTCAGATGCAGTTTTAGGTACCCCCTCCTTCTCTTTTCCTGCTCTCTGCTTTTGTTGTTATGTGCTGTTTAGTCAAACCTGACTCATAGTGACACCTCCTTGGGTTTCCAAGGCAGTATCACTACGGAAGTAGGATTGCCCAACCTTCCTTCCGAGGAGTGGCTGGTGGGTTTGAACCGCCAACTGTCTGGTTAGCAGGCAAGTGTCTTAGCCACTATGCTACCAGAGCTCTCTGCTTTTACAGAGACTGAATTTCACTGGTTATTTTATCACTTACTTGAGTCTACTGATACCACCCTTAGGAAACAGAAAAGGTTCAAATGAAGAAGACATTTGCATTGCCAGAACACAATGTGAGGAGTTAAACATCCTGTTTTAATTGGTTCTCTTGGCCACTCTGTAAATCCAATTGATATATCTTTAAATCAGTTACTGTGCAAGAGCCTCAAAATCTAGGTGTTTGGCATGAGAGAGACTTCTGCCCATGGAGCAGAGCAGACTCCTCTTTAGGGTGGTTACTATTAACTTTGAGAGAAGCAGCTCATAGCTATTGGTTTCAAACGTGTTTGCAGAGAGTCTTGAGGAATGGTGTAGTCTGACCTAGATAAAAGAAAGGAATTATTTTCTCTCATCAGGCTAAAACAGCTTCCATTATAGTGTGATTTAATTATTATAACTTAAGAAAGTTGATACAATTGCAATAATGATTTTTTAAGGAATTCTTCAGAAAAAGAATTTTGCAAATACTTGCAAAAATTTAAGGACCCATATTACAAATAGATTGTAAGTCTTTTACTCAGGTCAGTTATGCTGTATGAGAGTACTCTGAAATGAGGTGCCTAGCATGATAGAAGATGACTTCCCTAAGTATAAATTAAAGCTCCATGGTTGGATTAAACTTGTCCAAAGTCCTCCTTTCTGCCTTCCTAAGGAAAAAGACTTTAATTTAGAGTTGTAACTTCTAGTGAACTTTGACCACCCTTAGCAAACAGTAGAGAGGACAATATATTTGTGAAGAAATGTTTGTCAGTAAATGTTTATCAAGATGGTTTCAGAAAAATGCTTGGACAGCAGACTTTAGGAAAAATGTATACACAGCTTATTAAGTTAGCTCAAGAAATCTATGTTAGAAAATAAATAAGCTAACCTTATAGTGGCTAAAGCACTTGACTGCTAACCACAAGGCTGGCGGTTCAAACCCACCAGCCACTCCTCAGAAGGAAGGTTGGGCAATCCTACTTCCATAGTGATACTGCCTCGGAAACCCAAGGAGGGG